AAGTAACTAATGTAATTCTATTCTTTACCTAAATAAAAGGATACTTTTACTTATTTCCTAATAAACTAAACACTGCTACTAAGAAACTCTTATTTATAGTACCTCTGATTTAAGGAAGTGCTAAGGAATAGTTTAAACCTATTATAAGAGACTACCTTAAGAATAATAAAGTTACTTAAGATTAAGATACTTAGAATATCTTTATAAACTAGGATAACTTTAAATAAGTACTTAAAGATAATTTTAGAGTAGTTAATAAGGAATAATAAGCCGTAGCTAAGCTGCTTGTACTTAAATAGTAGAAGTTATATACTGTATATTTAGCTAAGTTTTGCTAACTAGTAGCTAAGACCTAGTAGGATAATAATGCCCTTATAGAAATTTACTACTAAAGTCTTAAAGAAGAAGTTAAAGATAAACTATACCTTACAGATAGACTTAATAACCTAATAACTTATATTACTATAGTAATTAAAATCAATAAATAATAGTATAAATACAAAGGAAAGAAAGCTAACTATAAATAAGGAAATGACTTTAACTCTTATTACCCTAATTAGCAATGCAATAATAACCACTAAGGTAACTCTTATAACCAAGGATAATAATAAGATAACTAGCGTAATAATACCTTATATAAAATACAGTTAGGCCTTATAACGCTAGGGGCTACTTAACTAGATAAATAAGGACGTAAGCTAAGAGATATGTCTAGATATAAGTACTATAACTGTAATAACTTTGGATATATAGTATAATAATATCTAGAACTACGTAAGCTATAAGACCTGAATTAAGGTAAGTAAACTTTAGGACTAACTTAGCAAATAGAGCTATAAGTAGCCTAAAGAACCTAAATATTAGGAATAATACGAGGTATATATAATATAGCGGAAATAACTGCTTTATATAAAGATAATATACCTAAAGATAGATAGAATCTAAGTAAAGGAAGTTCTATTAGGGAACTATAAGATAGATTCCCTATGCATAAAGATACTAAGATAGGAAATATACCTTAGATTTCTATACTATATAAGACTAAGTTAAATAAATACTAAAAGGAAATAAGGAAAGACCTAGCCTATTAGGAAAAAGAATAAAGAAAGTGGTAAGAAATCTGTAAGAAAAATAAAGAAGAAAAGCTTATAAAACTATAAATCTTAGGAATAATAAGACAGGGAAAAATAATTGCCCCTAATACAGAATAATTATAAACGTTATAGACAGTAAATAATATCCCTATTAGAACTAAGCTAGTAAGGAATAAAGCGAGATAGAAACAGGAAGTCAAGGACAGGAACGATATCTAATAATCCTACTACTAACAATCCCAGAGTATAGGACACAGGGGAGGATCAGTATAAGCTACAGCTCAATACCTTTAAAAATAAGATAAGGAAATCACGAGGATATAGACTTAAGACTACGAAGAAAGATATAACAAGCAGGGACTTAGAATCTTTAAAAAATCTCCAAAAATAACTACAAGTTGGACCTACTAGCAAGGGTCAGGCTTTACAAAGTCTTTTATATTACACTACTTAAATCAGCAGCTAATACAATACACGTTAAGATTAGCAATAAACTAGAAGAGATTAACAGACCAGAGCTTTACGAAGTAAAGGCAATTAAGGAAATACGGGTAGAAAACGGCAAAAGGGAATATTTAGTTAAATAGAAAGACTACCTAAAGAGCGAAAATATATGGGAACTACCTAAATACCTTATTAATGCCTAACGACTCCTAATAAATTTCTACTGGATAAAGAAGGGTTAAGAAAAACCTTACCTTAGTTAATAATATCTACAGTACTTAATAACTATGCCTCTATGGCAGTAAATAATTCCGCGTTATTAAGTGCCTTTAGATTATCTATAGTCTTAATGTTACGATAAAGTATTTTATTACTATAAGACTGTAACTGTCTTTTTTAACAATAAAGCTATATAAGATAGCTTAAATGCTTATTTACTTATTACTATAGCTATAATAATTTAGTCTTAGTAATCTCCTCTTTACATTCTAAATAACGCTTTTTAGCAGCAAAGTAATTAGCTACAGAAATTAGTATATAAAGGATATAAAAAATATATAAAATAAACCTTTAAGCACTAAGATACCCTTACTATCGTATCTATAACTACAATATGTGTATTAAGTACACTTAGAATAACCTTCCTTGGCCTAGTACTTAAGGCCCTAAGGCTTATAATAATTGCATAGTATAATAATAAAACTAGTATTTTTAATTAAAATTGCTTATACCTAATAGTTATAAGTAGCTTTAGATTTTAATATAGTGTTAGCAATTAAGCAGGAATATTATAGGTTTAAGTTAAGAACTTACTAGGGTAATATAGGAAGAAAATGGATAAGCAGGTCTTAAGAATAAGACTAACGAAGGAAAGGAGATTGTATTATGACCTAATGGGTAAAAGCGCTTACATTACGTGTACCCTACTTGTTTTACTAATTATTAAGTGGCTTATGCTTTAACCCTATTAGTACTATAAGCCTTGCAATGTAGCTTATAATATAAACTTACGACTTACTGTAAGCCTAGCTTATAATACCATAAGCTACCTAAGTATATATATATATTTATTTAGCATTAAATAGAACTTAGCTTACTGGCTATTAATAATACTTCTTTACCTTAATAAGCCTTACCTGTACTATTAACTATTAAGAGATATGACTTTAAACTAATGTGCTTAGTATAATGCCCTACGTAATCTGTAAACATAAACCTAATATAGACTAGTTTCCCTGTTTGAAACCCTAACCGTTACACTTTTTTTAAATAAGTTTATAGCTAAAAAGGTATATCCCTAAAGCTTATATAACTTAATACTAAGTAAAAATTATAATAAACTAATAATTTATTATATAATAAGGCCTTAATTAGGAATAGCTTTACTTTTAGCTTTATAGCTAACGTTTTATTTAGTTATAACTTTTAATACAGATTAGGGCCTAAATAGAAATAAATAGGAGACATGGAAATGAATTGAGGTTTAGAGATCGCAAGCTTGGCTTTGCTTGGGAATGAAAATGGTGAGAATAAACAATAGTACATGTCATGGACACGCCAAGAAATGGATCTCTGACTTCTGCGTTTTTTGATGTGGAACAAAAACTAAGTTTAGGATAGGGGCGTCGAAAACCCAGATTTTTTTTGGCGAACTTTACCACGCCCAGCGCTAGTTTTGGAATACAGTTCTGCCACCAACATAGCTTCAAAACAAATAGAAATAACATAGTTAGAGAGCCTGAATCTTAATGTATCAGTTTAAAATTTGTCCGCCCGTAAGATACCTCTCAATCAGTCGCTGAGTCGCGATGCAATATTCCCTCCTACACATAAAGTCTGGGAATGTCGCGATAACCTCATTTCTTAGATTTGGTGCCACTACACTTTCACTACTGTGACAAAATTAGTACTGCTAGAAACCCTGTATTTTATCATATTATTTCACGTCTTGTCCGCCCGTAGATTACTTTTGGATCAACTGCTGAGGTGTGGTGCATCTTGCTGTCTGGTTTCTGGAGGCCCACAAATGTCGTGATAGCTTCATTTGCGAAGTGCCATCACGCCCATGTCGAGTTTAAACCAACCAACAGTATGTATTCTTAAAGACATGCATCTCATGTCCTTCTCAGAGACAGCGACATGAATAATCTTGTGTAGCAAGTCTTAAGGCGAAAGATGATCGCTACGTTTAGACTGTCCTAGTTTGAGTTCTTGCTATGTGAGTTCTTACAGGACTCTTTCAGCGATACTTGAGATGAAATGATATCCGAACCAAGTGACTCTTGATTTATCTCACTGAGTCTTATGATGCCCAATTACGCATGATAATTCTTAAGCTGAATAATGATCGTTACTTCCACCGCGTCCTAGTCTGAGTTCTCACTGTCTGAGTTCTTGTAGTACTCTTTTAGTAACAGGTTGTACATGGAATGATTTCTGAACTTACTGACTCTAAGTTATCTCACCCAGTGCTCTGATGTCTAATATAATTATTTGCCTCCTTGTGTACCTATACTGAATATTCTGGTATTTAATTGAATTATTTACATCTTAAGGCTACCTAGTATTGCAAAGTGTAAACTGTAATGCACCGAGTCTTAGATCATATCTATGAATTCCTCGAGCTACAGTTTCACACTACTATCTAGTTACGACAGCGTTTCCATGAAACAAGCTCAGGCTTGATATCCAGGCTTAAGTCTCAAACTAAATTGTTATACCATCACGAACTGGTAAGGGAAATCTGCAATGGTCTTTTCTACTCCTTCTATACACAGATTGGCCGAAGACTGATGCTGTCTCTTGACTTGTCTAGACCTTCTATAATTATTATACCAGTATAGAAAAGAAACGACTAAACTTGTTCAAGTTAAACCCACTGAATCATGGTGATGTAATAATGCAAAGCATCTCTGAAGAAACTACTCTTGCAACAAATCACGTAGCCATATAATCTGGACTCAAGGCACATGTTTATCTTTGCACGTAACAAATACCAGGGTCTTTGCGCTGTCTTCAATCGCAGGCAAGGCGATGTGGTTTGTTCTCGTCATGTTCTCGACGCAGTGAAGGGATCAGCGACGTATGTATTCTTGGCGTATCTTAACTGTGCCCATGGTGTGGCCCAGCAGTCCCGTCACATCCTCTCCTTAGGCTGCATGCGTCCGAGTGCTGCATCGAGGGAAGTGAAAGTTGAGCGTCTTTGGCCAAGGTTGACGTTCTCTTACATTGAAATGATTGTATGATGTGGAGGAGAAAGCTCCAACAATTTAGTATTACTATAAACAGATACAAAAACATAATCGAGCAAGAAACAAAATCCTAAAAGGCCTAACTAAATGACAGGACGTCGAGCAGCAAGCCGAGAGACGATAAAGAACAATCTGCATGACAGAGAAATATGGGAAAGCGAGCTGCTGTCTGGAGGGGCTGCTATGTCCACAAGGGACCAACTGCTCAGGCTCAGGCTGTGCTGAAGGGACTGCTCATCGTGGAAACACCATTCTTGGGCTTAGGCAGCATAGGAAGGAGAGTCTGAACCCATCCCACGATCTGAGGCGCTTCAACAGAGATTCTAGAAGTGTGCTGTTAGTGTCCACAACTATACTTGTGAGTACTGCTTGAACGCGAACTTACCTGCAACCGGTGGCAGTGGACTCCATCTTGGTCTTTGACTTGGACTTGGAAGAACTGTGCGATCCCGAGACGGCGAAGGGACCCCACCCGACGGAGACGTTGGCCTGGGTAGAAGAAGCCGAGACCGCACTCTCGAGCTTGGTGGTGTCTCCCGAGAACTATGCTTAAAGTCAGGACCAAGACAGGGTGCGGGGGTAATACAGAAAGTGCTTACACTGAGTTCGATGTCTGCAGCAATGACAAAGGCTGTTGGGTAAGAGGAGAACTGCTGATATTCGCCCACGAGGTTTTTCCCGTTGTCGAACGCGTCTTTCAAGACATCTTCTCCTGGAGAAATTCTGAATCTGTGTCGATTTTATCAATACTTGGCACCGCTGCAATACATGGGTCAACTTACTCTCCAGAGTCGAGCTCAGCGTCAGCAAAAAGCTCAGCGTGAAGCCAGGGCCTCTCAATCTCGACTACCATACAGCTCATGCTAACCTCAACATCGAGGTTGGACATGGACGACATAGCTTCCCTAGAAGCTGTTAGCCACTGCATTGCTCAAAGCGTGGGCCTGTAAAACTTACGCGCTGCTTTCTGTGTGGCTTGCACTGGCTGATGCGCGCCACCAACCCCAACCGGCCTTGCCGCAGATGGAGGATGCACTCTGAGATGTCGAAGTCTCGGAGTAGCTGCTCTTGCTTGACACCTTGCACGAAATCTGAACGACCCATCAGCAACCATGTCGACATACACGAACGTTTCATAACCAACCTTTGTCCAGGAATCGGGACCATCGTCGGCGGCATTGCGCCAGGTGTCTTCGTTGTCGAGATCAATGACGTTACCAAGGCCTGGGTTCTTGAGACCTTTGTGTGATGTTAGTGGACTGAACTCCAGAGCGGCAGCGCTTGACTTACTCGGGTTGGCTACAAGCTCATCTCCTGTCACAACAATGCCCTCAGCATTGACGACCGGCAACAGCGGTGGTGCACTGATCAAAGGAGCAGCCTCGGCAGCGCTCAATTGTTTCTTGAGATCGTCGATATCCTGCTTGATCTGACTGACTCGCGCGCCGATCCAGCTCTTGGCCTTGTCCTTGTTCTGCTCCGAATTGTCACGGACTGATCTGTTGTTTCGATCCAAGCTGGCTTCATCGTGCTTTTTCTGCTCGTCGGTCAAGTTCTTGAGGACATCTTCGGTGAGAGGGGCGGCACCGAATGTATCCTTCAGCCAATTGTTCTTGTTTGACTCATTCTCGTCCTGTTTCCGGCTTTTGGCATTCTTGGTGTCCATGTCGTTGTATACATGGGCATAAGCCTCCTTGACCTTTTTGTCGTCGGGCGTCGAATCGCTGGACATCACTGGGAAGAAGGCATCTTTATCGATAGCCTGAAACAACCTATTAGTTCTCGATTATACTACCCAAGTAGATGATTGACTGACATCTGCAAGAGTTTCGTGTGAAACAAGCAGACCTTGCAAGCGACGAATTTCCGCACGGATCTCTGCCGGGTTGGGCTTGGCGTGATCCTTTTTCCAATTGAGCGTCTTCTTCGCAACCATCGTTGCCCTACAATCATGTTAGTCCTCGCAGTACTTGTATGTGGAAACAAGTGGAAGGAGTGAAAAGCGTACCAGCTGATCGGCGTAAGTACAACACCATTGTACTCACTGGACCCATCAGAAGCGATGACAGTGAGGTTTCTGTAGGCCTCCTTGCTGTTCTCAATACGCTTCATGCCCGACGATATGTCGACAATACCAAAATGGAAATCCACCTAGATAAGCCACGACCATCAGTATAGTTTCAACATATATTGTGGCAAGTTGAGCGTTACCATGAACTTATGACCGTGGACTACCCAATCCATATACTTCGTTTGAATCGTGTTCTTGAATTCTCGCGCGTGCTCTTGAATCCATTGCATGTACTTCTCCTGCGAAGCCTTGACCTGGGCAGTCGTAGCGCCGACGGGTGGTGCGAGGGTCCTCAAGGCCTCAGCTTGGGCACGCTGATACTCAGCTACTTCCTTTGCCCACGCTGACTCTTTCATGACATAGGTCTCAACCTTGGTCCGGCCGTTGCCACTGGGAGTGTCGTCTGGTGAAGTCAAATAGCCCATGGAGTACTTGTAGCGCTCTCGGATTGTTTTGAGGCGCGGGTCGGTGATGTCCCCAGTCTCGTTGGATACAACACCAGAGACAGAGGCCTCAACAGGGACCAGGAGATCAAGAGCTGCAAGATAGCTTCGAGCAACAGACTTGCCCGTTTTGCCGGCCTATAATGCAGCGTCACTGGGTCAGTTGCTGGCCTTTCTCGAGGACCGGTTGGGAAACTTACTGTATACTTTGACAAAGGTATCATGCCATCAACCAGTCGTGCCTCCTTGATCTGGATATCCAACGGTGGTTTGATATGCTTCGAGACATTGTAGTAGTAGTCCCTAGAATTGTGGTTAGCACACTTGTGTTGAATGTGGTGATGTGCGCATTTACTCACTTCTAATCAATTACAGTACCAGGTAGCGAGACAGTAAGAACTTGGTTGCTGGCAACGGGAATGGAGGAAGCGATGGCTCCTCGGACGGTCTGCATCAATCAGCCTACTATCGTGAAGTTACACCCGGAGTTATTCGTTATCTCAGAGGCGTTGGTCATGGCCGCCAAGACCCCCTTGGCCTGGGTCTCGGTTGACGGCGCGTCCGACATGATTCCTGTGATAGGGATGATTAATAATATGAGGGTGGTAAAGATGATTTTCGGGTAGAGAATATGAGCGGTGCTTGGGGTCTGATTTAAAAACAAACGTAACCGCGATGTCGCCTGCCTTTATACCGCAACATGAGTTCTCCTCCCACGTATCTCATCGATAGCCTCCAGGCTTGGAATTTCCTTGACCTAATGACATGTCTCGGAATCCTAATCGTTTTCCAAACATGTCTTCGTTATCGGCGAGCGGCCGCCCCTGGCTGCCTCGAGAAGTTCTTTCGCTGCGATAAACATGCTCGTAACGTCCTCTGGATCATCTCCACATTGAGACTCATCATCACTACGGCTGAGGTGTCGCCGAAACGTGATAGAACGGCCTGGATCGTAGTGAAGGCCTCAGTTGGATAACAGTCTGAGAGGGCACGAAAGTCCTGTCGTTCATGCCCAAAAAGTTAAAAGACCTGCCTTGGCCGAGAAAGGGGCAAGTGATCTGGATCAGGAATGCCTTTGCGAAGTATGTCGTCAGCTTGACTGACTGAGGGCCTCTACACTGGGTATTCTCTGGACCTTAGTGGCTGGCTGAGTGTGCCATGAACTTTCCACAAGAGGGAAATCATCTGGTCACAATCGTGGGCGCTAATGCATAGAATTCCAAGTCCGGTAGCATTTCAGGTTGAAGGGCGTTCCGACATGAACTGGTAGTTCATCTTTGCTAGGCAGTCGCTTCGCCGGGGAATAATGTTGCCTTGGACGTAGATGGTGAGTGTCCTCTGGAATTCATGACCTGTTTTGGCCTCTTCTGGTTTGATCATGACACGAGCGTGCCGTCTGATTGATCAACAGTGCATATCTGTGACCAGACTATGGCGTTGAGATAGAACTGAAACCAGACGAGTCACATATCTGGGTGACGTGCATATGAAGCTGAACAATGTGACTATAATGAAAGTCTGGGGGTGAAAGGCTTTAGGGGCCAAGACCTATATTCGTGAGCCTGACCGATCTAATCCGCGCTATTGTCAGAATAGTATTCCGCTGTATAGAATCGGCACTAGGGATGCTATGTGGCCAGCTGAAGTCCGCTTTATGCTGTGGCAATTGGTTAGTACTTATGGTATTATCCAGATGTGATATCTGCAGCCGAGACTTGTGGCTAAGAGCTTAAATCAGCAGACAGAACTTAGTGGCTAGCTAAAACGCTGGCGCCTAGCGGGCTTAATATCGATGCGGTAATCGCTAAAAGTGTGATACGGGTGAGGCGTCTATATCACGCGCCTCGCATGTCTAAATCACATTTTCTAGGCGTGGTTGTGGGAGTCTGGCTCTGCTCCTGGTTCCTTCTCTGGATTTGCTAGAGATTCCATTCTGGCTAAACTCAAGTCGCCCCATAGGCCTATACTGCTGCTACCCTAAAAAGCCTGCTTCCGAGTTACGGATAATTTTGACTTAAATGCGTGTGTCCTGGATTGCTAAAGGCGTATTAAGAAGTTTATACCTAACTAAAGATAATTAAGATAATATATTTATTAAGTCGTTTAGGATATTGCTTTAGAAACAGAGCCTTGCGCATTGTGGCTAAAAGATAACTACTTATATATAAATACCCCTTTTAGACCTTTACTACATGAATTGGAGTCTTATTAGCTGCCTGCAGTTATCTAGGGTTACTACCCTTTACAATTTAATCTAGCCTAATTCCTTATTACCCCCTTACACTATTACTATTTAACCTTTAAGGTAGGGAAAATCGGGCTTTATTTAATCCAGACTAATTATAGCTCTTCCTTTTTTACCCCTAACTTACTATAACTAGCCCGCTAATTAGCTAAAGCTAATAGACCCCCTATAACCCCTGGCTTTTACAGTAGCTACGCCTAGTAACAGGCTTATGCCTTAGCCTTAGTTAGCGCGCTAGGCTTACCTTAAAGGCCTGCCTTAATAAGGGGTCTTTTTATGCCCTTTATAGGTTTTAAACCTACTGCCTTTTGCATTACTGTAGGGGGCTTGCCTAGGTGCTTAACTACTGCACTAAAGGGCACCTTTACTACTATATTACTACCTTAAACCTCTAAATACCACGCCTATATTAACTTATTACCAGCCTACTAATATAGTACTTACAGTTACCTTTTATAACTTAATAGTAAAGGATAATACTAAAAATAGAATTATATTAATTAAGCTTAATAGTATAAGTATAATACCTTAAAAAGCTAAATAGTTTTATAATAATATAATTTAGTTAGCGGTTATAAAGGCCTTAGGAAGGCCTTTTAATATAAAGCTATAAAAATACTATACCTTTTAA